TTAAGAGCAAGCAGCCCACACTCATCCGTAGAGTCCGGTAGCAGAAATAAATCATATCTAAGGTTCAGATCTGACTGCTTAGATCTGATCTCAACAGCTATTTAAAGCAGCCAAAGTGCCCTTAAGCTAACTGTCCTTAACAAGAACCCGAGTATTGTGCTCTGAGAATCGAAGCTACCACGTGAAGGCGCTCTCCAAGGACTGTTGTGAAGGGGAATGAGCGGAGAGCCGGTCCACGTCTGTAACGCCCAATGGAGGCAGAGCCCTCATAAGCCCTTCTGGCCGACTCCCTCGCTCGCTGTTTGACACAGTCTTGATCCCCTCTGCTCTGTCAGATGGGAAAGTGGAGCAAGCCCCCCCCCCCCCTCCTTATGGTGTCTGTGCCGTTAAGTGTGTTAGTGTATGGACGTTTCCGAGCGTGTCTCTTTGACGACACAGAGGAAATATACACAAGTAACAAGAAAGTTGAAGCTATTTCAGATAGGGAGAGACAAAGGCCAACTAACACTTTAAACATAACATTACAATAGAGACATGTTATATAAATTGAATATTTTAGCACATTTTAGTTGGTCTTGTATAATGTACTTGTTATAGGTACGGGTATATGCTATTTTAAGGCTGAACTGTATGCTGTAACCCCAGGGATAACACTGTCTGTATAGCATGCATTCATTTTTCTATACCAAATTGACAGGTCAAGTGAATCTGGTGCTAGGCTGTAGGTTTCTCATCTCATGCTGACTTGAGGCTACATTTCTCCCTACTACCATACATACTAAGTGGATTGTTAAGTATTCAAGAGGGTGAAAAACGCACACTGAATTTATGCAGGGTATTCTCTTCATTCATTTATCGGCTTGTTTGCTACACAGGAGAGTAATCGATGGCATATAAATGGCCATTACGCTGCCACAAGAATGATAAAAGTATCATACACTTGGCTAAGGTCAGACCTTGTCGCTATGCCTTTTTGTGAAATGAATGTGATTACATTTTGGCCAGATTTGTGTCCAGCTAGTGCTTGGCAGTGTACAGATGAAATATTCCTTTGACTTTTTATTTAAGGTTGAAATCTTTCTCGGTGCCAAAGCCAATAGCAGTGCCAGATCAGTCGGAGCCCGGAGCAAGCGTCAATCTACCGTGTCAGATCAGGGACGTTAAAAGGTACTTGTGCTCTACACCAGGCTGTTATTACTGTATGGCGGTGGGGGCAGGGTGGGGTTCCCAGGTCTTTAACCACTGATCCCCGATCAAGCAGAAGACCAATGTGGATTAGAGATAGGATTAAGTGACCCTCACCCCTTAAAAGGCTTACTGTCATGCATCCATCTAAATGGTATGTGTTCATATCTAACTACTGGAATATTGTTAAGGCAAGGCAAGTTGATTTATATAGCACCTTTCAACACAAGGCAATTCAAGGTGCTTTACAAAAATGAAAAACATTCAGACAAAGGCATTTAAAAACAGTCATTAAAAAGAAAAGATAATAAAAGAAACACTAAATTAAGCATGCTTTCAATGGAGATTGCTCAGTTGTCTGCCTATAATGCATTTGAGCTTTGTCCGTGTGTAAGCTTATTTGAAATTAAATATATAATGCATTGTATATTTCATAAATGCCAGCATGAATCGGTTTGTCCTGATTCAAAAAGCAGCAGCTATAATCAGTGTAGCACATGTGAGTATGGTATATATACAATGTATAATGCAAAAGACATAACATAAGTACCGCACTGTACATTGAGTTGGTGTATATCAGTGGGGCTTCAGCCAGGCATCCCATACAGAATTGGAGTGAGGGTCAGAGCGCGGAGATGCCAGAGGCAAGGTCAGCAAACACGCAGTAGAACATCATCATTCCCCATGGAGGAGAGTGAGAGTTATTGAGGTATGGCAGAAACATGAAAGGGAGACACTTTGGAGAAATAACCCAATCAAGATTCAAGGTAGAAATGTCTTCCTAGAGACATGCTCAGAACACGTGTACATGTTTTATTCAGGGTAACCTTCTTTGCTTCCAATAAACTGAGCTCCTGTTTTCAAAACTTGTAAAACTTTTATGCGAGCTAAACATATCAGTACGTATTCGCGCCGGCAAGGCAACTGAATGAGAGTAGTCAGGCACATAGAGGGGAAGACAGGGAGGCATGGCGGGCGCAGCAATTTGGATGGGCAGATGGTGTCGACATATGGGCCTGTTAGGGGCAAAATAAATAAATAAACACTCACACATAAATACTGAGATGAACTGTGAGTGCCACAAACTGTTGGCCAACTTAGCCAGCTCAGAAAGAGCGTAAATGGGAGAGAGTTGACACTGAAATGTTTTGCAGATTTCAAAATATACGATTACTGCTTGAAGCAAAAAAACGTGCACACAGATAATTGTGTGGGATGACAGTAGGCTTTAGAGATGTAAGCCTCTGATCTCCAAGTAAGTACACATTACAGACATTATAATAATTAACGGAAAAAGATACAGGATACAATCTTTTTTTATGTGGGTGCTTCTGTGTGAACTGAATAAAGTGTTCATATACAGGGGAAAGGTTAAAAGTGATGTTCACGTCTCCGAGCTGAACTTCTGTTCTCCTGCTGTCTGGTTCAGCTGCTGCTGTGTTCGCCCTTCCTCCGCATTGCTATCTATACATTCTCCACCCTCTCTCCACCTCCCGCTGAACCTCAAAGCCTTTGGCTGCGTTAGAGAGACAGCCAGGTTGAGGTGATATCCTACAGCAAACAATCCTCTGCTTTGTACAACATGTTCTCTGCCCATATCAACTGCACACCCAGCTTTAGTCACGATCTGCTGCCCAGCAAAAGGAAGCGAATGGAGAACTCTATGTACTGTATACATGCTATATTTCTGTGCCTTTCTGTCCTTGCTTTTGCTTGTTTATATGATTTACATACTGTATAAACTGCCAATACTTGGATTTAAGTAAGGAAAAAATATCAAAATCAGAGTAGTTTGCGATGACTAGTTTCTTTTTTGTCCAGCCTACACTCTGAAAAACATCTGTGCAAGAAACAGCATGCTCCAAAGAGCTCATACTGTTAACGCAAAATAAGTCTCTGGATTAGCCCAACATGTAAACACACATCCTCAAGATGACTGTTGAGCAGCGATGAGAAAAGATGGGAGCTTAAAATAGACTTAAAAAATCACAATCAATTATAATAACTGGAACATTCTTGTTTATCGCTTGTATTTCAGTGTAAGTCAAACTAACTAGGTCCTGGTGAGTGAGTAGGCTTTGTGTGGGAAAGCTTTGAACCATCTGCGTGTACTCCCTGCCGTGTATGTATGCAAACATATTACTTTATTCCTGGCAAACACATTTGGATGTTTTCCACATTCCTTCCCACTCTGAGTATGAATGGTTGATAGACATCGCTGCCACCTTGCCACTTTATATTCCGTTTGCCTCTCTGCCCTGGTAGCGTCTGCACATTTAATTTGATTGCCGCTGTAATCTGCCGGCCAGTTAATTGACTTTGCCGAGCTTTGTTCCACTCCCACCTTGATGAAGAGGTGTAGTTTGATAAGTTACAGAATGTCTTATACTCTCCTGTGAACCTTGGGCCCCATTGTGTGCTTTGGTCACCGGGGAGTGCTGTTCTAGAGCAAGAAGACCTACTGTATAAAGTGATCCTGATGGGGAAGCTGAGCTGACCAAAATGTTTCGTCATCCATCTTGTTGTCACTGTAGAAAGTTTCCTTTTGTATCTGTCAAATCTAGCTCTTGGAAATCAAATCATATTAGGAGGCAGAGTAATGCCACCTGTATGGCATGTTTAAATCAACTTGAAAATCCAACACTGGACAAATCAATCTCCACTCAAGATCCACTTAAGTGTTCTGGAGCTGCTAAACGTATTTCTTCATCAGCAGTGGTTGCTCGGTTGTCATTGAACTCCACAGAGTTTAAACTCTTTCGGGGAACCATCCATGGATACTCAGCAAACCTAATCTGCTAATAAGGAACATGTGATACACTCCAAAGCTCCAGAACAAGCGAGAAAGAACTTCTCGGGTGGAATTGTCTTCTTCAAATGCTAACTTTTATTAAATGTTACTGCAAAATGTTTACTTCAACAGTCTATTTCTGTCCAAACAATATCCTATCCAGTACATATGTTTCTGGTTATATTAAGGCATAATTGTAAAAATCAATTCTTACTTAAAGCATATGACAAGATGTGTCATTATAATTATAATATCAAAGTGATGTATTGGCCTAAACGTAACAACATGTGTAGCGTTGCCAGTGAATTTCATCCATTAACTCTAAAACGAGAGGTATATCACTGTATTTTGTGAAAGGGTTGCATCTGCTTAGCTTAGCATGGGTAGAAGATATGGGCCATTTAAACATATCAAAGTCAAAGTGTATTGAGACCATAACATGGTACCAAACCCTAGCTTAATGGTCCTGAACCAGTTTTAATTTGTAATCGACAGAAAGAGTAATTACTTGGTGGGTTAATGGTTAAAACAGTGAAATCAATAGTGCTGGTTTACATCATGTAGTTCACCAGATTATCCACATACATCAATGAGTCAGTGGCCTACAAATGAGAGGAAACCCATTCGGACAAAAAATGAAGGCTTCAGGTCACTGGCTTTGAAATTAAGCCACATTTCCACAGTTCGGAATTGCGATTTAAATCTCCAACATGGTTTTGCGTTAAGGAAAACATAAAAGAAAGCTTGTAACAAAGGAAAAACATATCCAATGAGGCGTTCTCAGTGATGTTACTTGTGAATTCTTATCAACACAGAGAGAATGATGTTTGTTCTCATTGACTAATTTAATTAACACTAACACAGGGAACTTCATTAGACTGTTTTCACTTCATTAATTAAATTAATCTGACTGGGCATGAGCACACACACAAGATAAACAGCACCACACACACTGACAGACACATGCTTTGCTGCACTCTACTCTCTCACATGCACACATCAAAAGTCATTTAGAGTAACTTACGGGTTGCCATAGTCCCAGACAATGCACTGTGGATCTGATGTACCCTGCAAGATACAGGGTGGGGGGGGAAAAGGAGGGGGCGGGAAAAGAGAAGATAAGCGGTTATTGCCAGTCGAGAGGATGAGTGAGAGAGGGAGGCAGCATGAAGACGGAATGGCTTTTTGCAAGAGGAGAAAGAGTGATGCTGCATGGGCGATGGAGAGAGGTAAACAGACAATGAAAGAGAAGGATTGAGACAAACGGTGGGAGGGAAGGATGGAGGAAGAATCATTGTCATGTGACGGAGCAGCAAATAGCTGCAAAAAGAGAGAAGGTGTGTGAGCAATGAATTGGGAAGAGTTAGAGACAAACAAAAAGTAATTTCATGGACAATAATACACAGCAAGTTGGGGTCATAAACATCCAGTAGTGGAAAGGCAGTCAAATTATTTACCAAAGTACAACCACAGCGTGAAGTAGTAAAGTAAACGTCAACAACAATAAAGCCGTAAAATGCACTTAAGCATAACAACCTATGAGACCAACTGGTAAGTAAAGTAAAGTACTTAATAAATGCTGCATCTCTAAACAGCATCATGTTTATTCAAGAAGTTGATTCAAAACGTGTGGAAACAACATTCTGATTTCAGTCTAAAAAGGATGGTCATACAGCGCATTCTTAATCCATCGACTCACTGGATCCAAAAGCCAATCGCTTTGGTCGAGGGTCCGGGGAATCATCTGGAATTCGGAGCTCAGTCACGCGTGGTTGAGGTGGAAGACTCCCAAAGACTCAATCCGTGAATCAATCACAGGATCAATGTCTTTAACCGACTGATCACAACTTGTTCCACTGGTGATCTCGCCATTGATTTGTTTTTTAAAGAAACTTATGTGCCCTTTGAACCTGCACGCCTCATTTGGTATAAGGATTGGATAGTGATTTCAGGTGACCTTTGTGGGTGCTGGATTATGGCTCTTACATCGATTCCTGAATCAAAAGCATTAATTGTATCATACTGGTACCGTCTAAGAGAAACAGCTGATGTTTTCTACGTCCTTTTCCATGCCGCTTGTGTGACTAGTACATCGGGTTCATAAACTGAGATGCAATTCTCCCACTGATGCAGAGGCAACTGGATCCATTACATTACATTACATTTAGCTGACGCTTTTATCCAAAGCGACTTACAATAAGTGCGTTCGAAGAAATGCAAACTTGAAGAAAACAGAATCATATAAGCACATCAGGTTTCTTCCCTCTCTGTCCCAGTCTGTTGGTCCTCCCTGAGTCCTGCTTTAAGCCCTTTGCCTTTGAGCTCCCCCTTATGGTAAAGGGGATTATAGCAGTAAATCCACAGCCACTGTTCTGTTCAGCATAACATGGATGAGAAGACTCATCACAGTCTAAGAAAGAATTGAGAAAATGACCTCTATTTGAGTAAAGAGCTTAACGAAGGTTTTTTTCAATATCAACACTGTCTAAATAAGGAAGAGAACAAGGCACATTCAAGTCTAAACTATGATTTATATCCCTAAAGGCAAGGTCATCCCTCCTTCTCTGACTAGTTCGTAACTGATCCCCCATGAATCAGCGAGTCCTGGGGTTCTCTGCATGGCTGGACTTGAGAGGACGGGATGATACAAGGTTTATATACACTGGATCAGAGGCTGGGCGACACAGATTGATGGATGACAGCGCTTTGTTCTGCCTCGTGCGCAGACCGCCACCATCGCCGACATTAGATGTCCCCGGGCGTGTATTAGCGTGGCGGGCTCTGTTAGCATACAACTATCAATCAGCGTGCATCGTGGCCAGCTGTACGATGCTGCGGGAGTGACATCCCTGTACTCCCATAATGTCTGCTTCCTCTTTAGTGCCGATACGTTGCATAATGACAGCGTCTGCTCGACTGATGCCACTCAACGGGAGAGCTGTGTGTCTGACTCCGGCAGCTGCATGGTAATAAACAGGTCTGTCCTTTTACTCTCAAAAGGAACAGCTACTTCCTTCCAGGTATTTACATCTACAAGTGGTGTCTATTTGATGAACAAAAAAATCCTAATGCATATTGGCTGGGAATATGTTGGTCTGATCAGATGAAAGGAGCAACAGTAAAAGACCTCACTGGCTCAGGGAGTCTTAAAAGCCTCTTAATATCAAAGATTATAGATTCAGGAGATGAAATGGAGTAACCTGCATGATGCTTTTTGACTGATGAAAGTAAACTAGATTACACTTAAATGACCAGAGAGGCTTGAGGCTGATGTTTGGAAAGCTAACCAGAGCTGCTGTGGGCGTGGGTCCACTGGTCTACTGAGGGCTAACAGAGATTTCTAGCCTTCTGCTTCTTACTCGACATTAAAGAAACACACACCCACACACTTTAACAACAGGGAAATGTGTGCGGAGTCTGGAGCAGATGTCCTGTCAGTGAAGACATGACCGTGAACAGAGACCCCCACACTCCCCTTTGAGAAGGAAGCCTGAGGCAGCGGTTTATACGGCACTGCTTCAGTAGCTGGGTGTTTCTACACTGGCCAAGGTCGAAGTCAACTGCAGCTTATGACCAGGACAAAAGACTCTGCTCTCTTTCACTTCCATGCCCTCTCTGGTTCTTAAATAGCAGTTCAGCATGTTATGCATAATGAAGTTCCGACTTAGCTGAGCACCACTGAACATATAGGTTACACTGCCTTTAAAGTAAAAACACTTGAATGGGAAAAAACGTTTTCAGTACAGTTTCCCTCGATCCAATTATTCTCAATGTATTTCTCTCCTAAATGAGAAGATTGGTAACTTGCATACCTTAGCTTAGCATGAAAAAGGGGGACCAGTTAGAGTAAGCAGCTAGCTAGGCTAACCGGCTTTGCTCCATATTTAAATGAGCACTGTGTAGGATTTAGTGGCATCTAGCTATGATGTTGCAAATTACAACCAACTGAATACCCCAACTCTCCTCTTTACAAGCATGTCGGAGAATATAGAGAAGCATTCAGGTGGCGTAAAAACGCAGACCATCCCTGGAATCAGAATTGGTTTAATACGGCCACTGAAACATAGTGGTGCAAGCAACTCAATTTATTATGGGATCCACATTTCTGCAAATAAATCCTCCTAAATCCCAGACACTGCTTGGTTCAACAAACAAACATAAGAGTGGAATTGATCTCCTCATTTAACTCTCGGGAAGAAGGATTATTAGCGTATTTGCCAAAATGTCATAAAACTCCTTTAATCATTCTAGTCCTTCAGTGCAATAATTCAAAAACAAACTATTTTGGTTATAAAAAAACATTGTTCTTTTATTTTGCCTTTAAGAGATGCTAAAACCCTAATTAATTTGAAGTAGCAATTATGGATATGAGGAGTGGTTGCATTTCAAATTAAACCAAATTAATATTATACTAATCACTTGAATCCCTCCACACTGTCATTTAGTTTTTGTTGTCGAAGAGATATCCATTTTCTAAAGTAGAATTATTAATTATAAATGTTTTATATCACTTTAGTCAATTATTGATCTATGCTGTATTTTATTTTTACCCTAGACAAACTTTTTTTAAATCCTGCATCATAAAATAGGAACTTTCCACTTACTAGGCAGGAAGGCCTTAATAAAAGACATTATTCAGGAGGTAAATGGGAGATATTGGATTGACCATTCATGTTGCTTGACATATACAAAGTGCCTGTGTTGCAACAGTTATCACAATACGTATTTAAATATGACTAAATAGTACGCCATTTAGCCAAACAGGTATGTCTTGCTAATACTGGTAGAAAGTATGCATATGTACATCCCTGCACTGCACTGTACTGCCCGTAGGAAAAGTGTCCATCCACAGGGTTAAAAGAACAGAGCAGCATGCTTGGATCAGCATCAAGAAATTATCCTCTTAACAGAGAAGGGACCCATGGTATCTCTTCTTTGCCAAAAGTGTTAAAAGCAGAATAATAGGAAGATAAAATAAAGAGAATTGCCATAATTGAATAATGATTTAGTGGTTTAAAGCAGGGAGATGGAGTGGCGGGGGATGGAGAATGAATGCAAAGTCATTTAAATGAAACACTTTGCAATAAAGTTGACCCTCAGGTCCTGGCGAACATAGGGATAAAACTGATTTCATTGAAAATGTAAAATACATTTGTATGAATGTGTGTGTTGTGTCGTCTGGAGAGAGCTATTAAATATTCAACATTATTTTCAAAACTGTGCCCACCTTTGCACACAAGAACTGCTAATGAAACCAACACCTTATTGAGGTCATGATGAGAGCCTCTAATTAAACTTGCACTTAGTCCGTTCCACTGAAGACACCCCGCGAGTCGTTTATAATAACCCACGGTAATATAAACTGAATATGCACCGGGAGACACTGTGAAATAAGGAAGTCAAAAAGGTCTGCATTTATTCAGGCAATTCAACGAGCACTATGGCACTTTATAGCATGCGGCACTTTATTTCTCATCTGAACTCATGGGTCAGCTGGGAGAGAAGGAATCCTTTATTGCCTTCAACACATCTATTTTTCTTGCTCAATATACAAGTATCTAACAAAAAATGCAAACTGTTGCCTGGGAAAGATAACTTGTTTTCTGGTGGTTTTGGAAAGTTGACATGAGGGAAATATAAGAGTAATGTTCTCTTCTCTCAAATAACGATATTTTGAAATGATCTAGCTGAACAGACAGGGCTTTGTATCGCATGAAAACACATAAAACAGTAAAGACCTTATTGCAGGGTAAACTGAGAGATACAAAATACACATTTATTAATATTAAAAAAGTAACTTACATTGAAAAGTGGTGATAGCTCCACCACCACCATGGGCTTGCTGGGTTGTGGTTCCGGTCGTACTGTCACGGTAAGGATCTTCGAGTTAATCACAGCAGGGGCGCTGCAAATACACAATCAAGTGTATTATTTAACTGTACCACACATTCAAATTTGGATTTGAATTGTTTCCCTGATTTTGAATGAACAAAATAAATGCTGGTGAGCTGTTTGTATCTGCTGTTTTTCACTAGAAAAATACACATGCATGAATGCAATCTGACTCAGAAACATAGCCTTAGATGGTTTGTGAGTGTGTTTGCAAAAATAAATACATACATAAATAATAAAACCTAGAAATAAAAACCTAATGAGAAAGGGAGAAAGCCGGGGCCAGAGCTAGCACTTAAAAAAACTGACCACTGGACCTATTAGCATTCAGCAGAGCTACAGGGAGAAAAGGATTTGAACAGATCCAGCTCATCCACAACCAAGAGCACTGACCTGAAAAAAAGAGCCCAGGGCTTTCACAAACACCGTATCACAGTGGCTGTTTGACAACCTCCTTGTTTCGTTCTAACTTATATGTTTGCATGTTCGGTACCACTTTACAATAAGACTACCCTTATAAAGGGTTTACAAACAGTTTGTAATTCATTTATTAATTAGGTTGTGAACACTTTATAAATCCTTAATAAGCTTTTATAAGACATGAGATAAACAGGGCAACGGTGACCGGTTGCTTGTCAAATAGTGAGCCCACATGTATCTGTACTGCTAAGCCTTATTATAAATGGTAGTAACTCATTAATACATGGGAATGTGTTTTACACTTTACAATAAGGCTCCCTTTTGGCAGTTATAAATATTAGTAACTCATAAATAAATGGTCATAAGAGATGCCAAGAAACATCAATATGGAAGGGGAGAGAATCAACTCAGTGAGCAACAGATACCAAGGCTGGCTGATGAAGAAGACGAAGTAAGCTAGTGCCATTATAAGGCTTAGTCATCTTGCCAAATAGTGAGCCTGTGTTGATGTATGAAAACTATGTTAGAACTGGTTTATAAATGGTTCTTAATGATTAATAAAGTGTTTACAACCTAATTCATAACCTAATTATAAACCCTTTATGAATCCTTTATAAGGGTAGTCTTATTGTAAAGTGGTACCGCATATTCTATACGTTTTAGAACCCAATAAGCCCGCTCACATTTGAGGCACACTGTAGACTTCCAAAAATACATTGACAACGCAAAAGAAAGGAACACACATCAATGGGGATGCAAGACATTTGTCTGATAACTAGGCCAATACAAAAAGACGTGGAAAATAGACATCATGAGAGAGGAACCAGAGGTAGAATCGAAATGTTGGAACCAGATAGAGAAATTAATAGACAGAAGAAAGGGCACAGAAATAAAAAAAAAGGAGTGAGGAGAAAATAAAAGGTAAAAGAAAGGCCAGCGAATAAACAGTTGATCACATGAGAAGTACTCACTTTGGTGCGGGTAAGATGGTGCCCAACGTCCTGTACAAGATGGCTCCGATGACATAGTACATTGGAGCATCTGACTCTGTTTCTGTCTCTGAAACACAGGAAGATGTGCAACGGATCAGCCCAAATAGAGGCAATGGTTTGCTTAGAAACGTCTTCAAAAATCACATTAAACAATCCATCTATCCACCAGTTAAAGGTTGTTCTGTATACCTCTTTTCATTGTGTGCAAGGAAAGCGGTTGCTGAAAATCTTTTTGGACGGGTTAGGCTTTAGAGTTATGGAAATTAATTGTGAGTTTGATGATCCAAGGTTTAAATAAAAGACTGCAAATGATGATTGATTAGATATACCCTCAACTCTTTTTTTACCAGGTAACTTAACTTAAAGGGGACCTATCATGCAAAATGCACTTTGTGACACTTTAATACATAAATATGTGTCCCCGGTGGGTCGGGGAACTCACGCAGCGTCAGAAAATAAAACCCTCTCTCTTTTCCTCCGTACCCAAATCTTTTAGAAACGGGTGTACAACGAGCGGATACAGATTTCCATCCGAACTGACGTGTCCATCCGTGGTGACGTCGGCGGACCCACAGAAAGTTGCTATCAGAAACAATGCCTGACTTGTTTTGGACGTCTTTGTTTACATTAGCAAGCCTCGCTAACACTCAGAGCTAACCTGTACTGGAGAGCACATGTGTTTAAAAAGCAGGAAATAAAAAAAGAACTCACCTTGTGGTAAACCCGCAAGAGAAAAAGCATTTGAGCTCCATACTGTTTCAGAAATAATCCTTGACGTGGTTTAAACAGGATGGCGTTTTATCACAACCAAATGTAACGTTATCTCCGGTAGAATTCTGATCAGGCATTAGCTCCGCCTCCTCTTCTTTCTTTTTTTCAAGCTAAGGACCCAAGATCCGCGTTTCTCTAACAGGGCTTCAAAAGAGGGGTTTGAGCAGTATGAGGCATGGCTACAATGGGTGATCTGTTTGGTATTTTGAAAAAAAAACTTCACAGACATGTTTTATATAGGTTTGGCCCTACAATATATTTTTCAAATATAACATGATAGGTCCACTTTAATGTATCTATGCGCAAAGACACAGAGTAGTTGGTGAAGCAAACAAGCACAGATTTCACCTGTCTCATCAAACTGCAATGTCAGCTTAATTTGTATTTACTCCTGAGCTGTCACTGACAAATGCTCTGTTGAATACATCAAAATAAGAAAAGTTTGTTAATTGCATCACCTGATATGACAGCTACATCTTCCATACTCATTCCATACTCAGACTTATTCTTCCGAGTTAGCAATTCCACTATTTCAGGTGAAATAACCTCAATTTGTGTGCGTGAAGCCACTATTTCTGCCTCTTAGCAGCTCAATTAAGTCTGGTTTCTAAAAAGTCCATTTGTCTAACATGCAATTAACTAAATTCCAATTAAAAAAAAAAGGCAAATGTTAGACAATGGCTTCCTTTCTATTAGTTTGACCCTTTTGTCTTTTAAATCTGTTGCTGCGATTCTCCAAGCCACACTTCAACTTTTCCCTCCTTTACAACGCATTGCCTTCCACCACTCCCTTCAGTCTTCTTTCACCAAAAAGAGCAAGGGCTCCCAAGGAGACGTAGTGTCCCTCTGTAAATATCACTTTGTCTCAAGTGAGGGAAGAAAAAGAGGCAGAGAGCAGAAGTATGAATGAGGGAAAGAGTTCATGTTGAGAGACGCCACTCCCTCCTTTGCCCTTTCAGGCTGAGAGAAGCGACAGAGGATCATTGACACAGAGAGCGGAAGAGAAAGAGACAGAGGGGGCTGATGGTATCAGACGTACTGTGTGACTCATCCAAAATCTGTCTGCCTGCTGCCTAAGAAGTAATACTTAGGAAGAGAGATAGCTATGCACGACCGTTGAGGAGTGAAAGAGGACGACACAAAAAGATCCCGAACAGTGTTGAAAAAGCCCGATTGTTTGACTGTGAGGAGGCAACAACAGATCAAAGTCAGCACGTGAAAGCCTGTGAGTGTGATGGATCCTAATTGGACAGTGTCTGCAAAGCCATGCAAATGAGAAAGTCAGTGTATTGTGGGTAAATGTGATGGTGTGGCACTCCTACGCATGAGGATGATTAATACCACAAAAGCACTTAATCATAAAACTCTAATTTCCCAGGAACATACTTTTTTTGTCACTCTTTTTCTGAACATCTAAATGATTGGTGGTCAGCTGTAATCCAGCAAAATGGCAAACCAGTTACCAGCTGCAAACTTTAATATGCAATTTGTGATGAAAAATATGATCGGAGTTGATGCAAGGCAATAATTTGTGATGGTCACACATTGATTTAAGGTGTTTTTTCTAAACTGTAGTGGCAGGGGAAAAGGTTTAAGGCATGTTGATTATCATGAAATGAAATGAACTATGATACATGTATAAAATCCTCGCAACTGCAGTTCTTAATGTCCACTGTTATGTACGGTTTGAGAGGGTGGGTCATTAAGCCTCATCTACATATTCACCTGTCGCGGCGCGTCCGGGGCCTTTTTAGTGGGCGCGTCAACGGGATGCCAGGGGTTGGTTCTCACGGGAGGAGGAAGTGTGTGTGTGTGTGCGGCGAATGCGGGTATTCAGAGAAGTTTTCCTCAGCATGTGTTTATGTACGTTACAATGCAACGGGGAAAATAACGGAATGTGGATATTGCATCGATCCGACCAAGAAGCACGTCTCTGTGGAGAGGACGCGCACAGATAGAGAGAGAGATTCTCTCCAACACAGGGTGAGATCGCTCCTTTGTGCCACGCCGATCATCGTGTTTTTCTGTCTGTAACCTAAATAGGGCCACAAACATTTCCGTTTTTTTTTGCTGCCGACGGGCGCAGGAGCAACAGTTTTTTTGTCAATTAACTATAGTGGCCTGGATTAGGGAGTAAAGACAATTTCGGTTTATCGCCGAGCTGACTTTTTGTTGAGTTTTGTTTGTTTTGTTTGGCTGGAAAACTGTGAATATAATTGAATAACGTATAAAACCTGTCTTTGTTTATTTTGTGAATGTGTGGATGGAGACTGTAGTAAATACACTTCCGTCGGGACTATTTTGTGGAAAGAGTAGATTGTCCGTTTATCAGTTCTGTTTACCTTTAATATATTATTTCATATCAAGAACCCCTTGTGCGTTTAATTAACACAGCTATTTTTGATAGTTGATCGTTACAAATTGATGGATTTAATCAGAGATTGACAGCTCCATACAGACAGTCCCTAGTAAGAACTCCTTTTTGCATGACACGGAACATTTCAAGACATGAAAATAAAGGCATTACTTTTACCCAGTTGAACAGACTGACTGAATGTGCTGAAGATATGACTGCAATGGTGACTATTAAGGGTCAGTCATTTGCACTAAACCGTATCACTCAATAAGTAATGTCTTTAGCTCCTTTTAAACAGAGAATCCAGAGATCCGCATAAGTCCACCATCAGTGCAGGACCAAATTGTGATTCAAGCAGGAAGTGTGTGAAAGGGGCTTTAGTCTAGTCTGCCTGATTGCCTCATTGTCATTGATCCATTATCCAACTGAGGTTTCCGCAAGTTAGAATCCATGGCCCCTGAAATGTCAGTAGCCTAACTGTGTATTGATACATCCATGCTGCTGTTAATGGCGCTGACGTAGCAGACTGATTTTTAATTGTCACCCTCTCTCAATATTGTATAGAAAATATAATATTCTCTAAACTATTTAGCTGTTCAAAATGAAAAAGAATCGCTTACTGCCTCTACAGTATTTTTTTTGTCAAGAGGTAAATTAGATGAGCAGTAGCACTTATTTGTGTTAAGTGTGAAGCATGAGCCAGGAAGTAATGAGCTTAATTTAGCTTAATGGTAAACGGGACTTGAAAAGTGGGTGGCTCTGACCAAAGATAAAAAAACATTAAAAAAAAGCTAACTAATTAACATTACATTACATTACATTTAGCTGACGCTTTTATCCAAAGTGACTTACAATAAGTACATTCGACCAGGAAGACACAACCTTGAAGAAAACAGAATCATATAAGTACATCAGGTTTCATAGAGCCAAACATTTCAAGTGCTACTCAACTGGCTTTAGATAAGCCAGCCCTTTATTAGTATAAAAGTGCTTCGTTAATAGTTCTATCGCTCGAAGTGGAGTCGAAAGAGATGAGTTTTCAGTTTGCGCCGGAAGATGTGCAAGCTATCTGCCGTCCTGATGTCAATGGGGAGCTCATTCCACCATCTTGGAGCCAGGACAGCAAACCCACGTGTTTCCGCCGATGGGAACTTGGGTCTCCCGCAGCGAGTCGTTTGGCTGATGCAGAGCGTAGTGCACGCGCTGGGGTGTACGGTTTAACCATGTCCTGGATGTAGGAAGGGCCAGATCCATTAACATAACTGACACAGATTTTCTGGTTTGACATTTCCTATTGAACAAAAGCTGGATGCAGGGACTTAAGTCTTGCCCTGTCATTGTGAGGTTGCCAAATGCCAAAATGTCATCCTAACAGTTGTATTTGCGTAAGGATGAAATAGTCAGTAAATTGTTCCATGGGTTCTAGTGGGCCTATCTCCAAACATTGGAGAGGCAGGCTAGCTGTTGGCTAGGCGCTGCGGCATCCAATTTTTAAGCTAGGCTATTCACCCATTTGTACGGAGCCCTGGAGGGTTCATAGAGAGAAAAATAAATAAAACGAGGCCAGGCTTAACTTGTGCGCACGAGATGTAATTCGTGGCCTCAATTTAAATAAAACGAGCCCACGCTTTATTAATTTGTGCGCACAAGATACTTTCTCGTTCGCACGGGATACTTTCTTATGGTAAAACACATCGAACTGCCCGATTAGTACGCCATATCATTAGTTTTATGAAGAATATGTCCGGTCGCCAGGGCGTGCGTGTGCGTGTGTGTGTGTGTGCATTTGTTTATGATAGTGTAGTTCGTTCCGGTGCACTCCGGCAGGACTAGCACTACATCGAGATTAAGATTAAACACATTTCTTTCACTTGGGAATACACATATAACTATGGAGAACCAGATTTGTGTAAATTACTGTTCATGGTCATTTGAAAACAAATGCCGGTGGTGTCGGACATACAAACACACTGAGCACACACACAGGGCGGAGCTGAGCACAAACACACACACATCATGCACCCTGGACATCTCCTTCATAAAACGAGTAATAGGGGGAATACTCTGGCAGTTCGATGTGTGTAGAGGTGTGTGTGGTTAAACGTAGCAGCCTCGATCTCTATTCAGCGGTTCTAATGAAGGGAAACGCAGTGAAGTAACCAGTAAAAGGCACAGCTCTTTGCAGCTGGTGCTGCTCTTCTCAGATTCTGCTGAGTTACACGTTACTGCCTCCAGTGCCCTGTACGACGAAGCCAGTTCAACAGACCCTGGATATGTTTGATTTACCCGGCTTAACTAACCCTAAAAAACGCGATCTCGCTAAGCGGTCCTACCAAGCTGGTTATCAACTCAGTAAATCAACCAGGGTTTCTCTGTCCGGCTGAGAGCGCGTTCACGTGAAAGGGACGGGGTTAGCAATATTTGACCAATCACAAACATGGAGAAGCGTGCTGATAGCGCAGCGTCATACTTCATGAATGAATAGTAAATAGCAAATCCTGCTTCGTAGTACGATTTCATAAAGTGAAGGAGGTTTTCCTTCTTTCCAGCTGTGGGCAGCAGATACTGTGAGAGTCACGGACAGGAATTCATAGATCAAAGCAGACTGGTTTACAGACTCTTCTGTTTTGCGAATCCGGTGCTTAAACAAATAGCTCTAAACCCCTGGCCAAAATGCCCCTAAATGAAGGCGGAGTTTGAAATATATCTCAAATAATGTATGCACTGCCATTTCTCCACATAAACATAACAGTCTGCAATGAAACGGTCGTCTCCTCTGTGCTCCACTTCCTACTTGGCGCACCGGTAACAAAATACTTTCTCGTTCGCACAAAATACTATCTTGCGCGCACAAAATACTATCTTGCGCGCACAAAATAGTATTTCGTGCGAACGAGAATGTATATCGTGCACACAAGATCGTTTTTTTTCTTCTCCATGAACCTTTAGGGTCTCCGTACATTTTTGACACTATGTACTTCAAAGCACAAAAACAGGGTTAGTGGTGTCAACTTATTCCTAATAGACACATTACTTTAATTTGAACCAATCATCATAGATCCACCTCACTGGTGATAGTTTGATACTCTACTAAAAAACTGCGGGGTTCTTTAACACAATATATTAGAGCAGAGATTGTTTGGGTTCTTGCTCAAAAAATACTTCAAAATTAAAGGAGCGTAACTACATTCATGTACCAGCAATGGCATATTTGAAATATGAAGGCATTGCTGGATTGTATGTATGGATGTATGTATGGTCGTGTCTGCAAGACCGAGTGAGTGCCTGCATGTGTGTTTGTGTTAGAGAGAGTCAGTGGGGAGAGAGAGGGACTTTGTCACTTCGAAAATCGGTGAAGAACAGTCCCAGGCTCTGCTCAGTGAAGCGATTCATGAACCTATCAATGGGCCGCGTGTATGTTCAACTGTGTGCGCACATGCACACACAAAGGTGCCGATGGGCCTTTATGAGCATAGTTAAGCTGTCCATCTGAGATAGGCTTTCATTATGTGGTAAATGAACCAATCAAATAGATAGCAATCAACTGAAGACCTCAACTCATGGACTGCCAATAGGAAGAGGCAGAGTTCCTGCAGGGGCAAAGAGTACTAATAATGCCCTAACTCATCAGACGACATGCAGTTTGGATTAAACAATTTACCAAATAGCATTATGCCAAAGTGGCAATGGCATGCGCTGAATATCATATGAGAAAATGGCAGAGTAGATGTGGAACCGCCATTTGCTTTTATTACACGCACCGCATGGGACGTTAAATGTAGTGAAACAGAAAGGCTGGATTAATAAAGAATATCAAATACGGGTGACATCGATTGCAATGCAGCAGCATTATAAACAGGTGTTGCTTTGTACACCTTTGTGTATGCAGTTGCAACCTAACACGTTTCCTTTGAAGGATATTCATTTGCTGTTCCTTTAAATCCGGTAAAAACATCTTGGACAAAACACCTCAGGGAAACTCATAAACAGGTTGTGTTACATAAAAGATCAACGGTTAGGAAGGAAAGTAAAAAATAAGCATATTTCATGCATGATAAAGAGAGTTAAAGTGAGGTGTGCTGAGGTCGGCATACAGGATGTGTTGGATGCCAATCAAAGAGAGTGTGTCATCAGAGCGAGTCAGAGGTCAGACAGCTCTGCACTCTCGGCCTACAGCCATTCTGAACTTTAATTTGGGCATGGGGTGCCAGACAGGAAGCCTGCCAGTGTCATTTCCAGTGGGATGTGACCTTTGTCTTTGTCGGTAGTGGATTGCATCTGCCACAGCTACTCTCTTGTCTAAAAAACACTTTATTTCTACTCTTTTAGCCACTGAAACTATTTTAGCTCTCCTGCCTCCTGTTGTCCTCTTTCATTCACCTTTAATCTCCTCCACAGTTGGACGTGTGCATTCGGACACATTTATTGGCTTTAATTGAAACCACATGAAATTCCCAGCAGTTCGCTTTCAAGTGTGGCTAAAAACGAAGAGACGTATTTTAAAACTGTATGAGGACTTGATGCTTTAAAGGGAATGCGGCACACTTTCTCACGGATGAAAGACCGGCATCTTTTTGAGCAGCCCTCCAGGGTCTCTTTATAGTCCAAGTCCTTCCCAGCATTATCCTTCCATGCCCTTGAAAAGCCTTCTATCTGCTTCCATGGGAAACATCTGAGTGTAGGAATTCACTACGGGATAACATCTTGGTCCGACCTTGGCTGGAGAGAGGGTTGAGCAGTTGATATCCTCATATGTTCAAGATTCAAGAAGAAAAGTGATGATGACAACTCAAAGAGAGCAAACTCAAGGTTATGAGCTCAGTGCTCAAACCTGACTTGACTTCTGGAACTGTCTTTTTGCTTTATAAATAACAACATAAGCCTAATTTCGTTACTAATGGTGGTAACAGAGTGGTATAGATTGGTACAAAAAGCACATAAGTATGGACAAATCCCAGGAAGTGGAAATCTGTGTTAGTTTCCTACCTTCAGCCGGGTTGATGAAGACCTCTTTAGGGATGTAGAGCTTGTCCTCTGATGTTCTGGCCCAGTCCTTCATCCCTCTCCGGCCCTTCACTGGAAAGTTGATATCGCTGGAAACGGCTGACACTGGCTCTCTCTGGACGGTTATCACTGGACAAACAAGACATACCCCGTACACTCAATGCAGTGCAACATTGACAAAAAACTGGTTATAGATAAGTTGAGCAAAAAAACAATGGAACCATTATTGCAAGAACATGATTAAATAGTTACAAGGGCTTTTTTATATGAGCATTTCAATTGGATGATTTGGAAACTTACTAAGATTGTTGGTAACCACCAAGAAACTCTGGAAAGGCTTCTGGGCTTCTCCAATGAGGTGAATGAAATCTTCTAATATCCTCATCAGCAAAGCAGCACCGGGAGCGACCTTCGGTTAAAAGGGGGAAGGGTGAAAAAGTATAATGAATAATTTCTTCATAAAAGTATAATCCATTGAAAACTTTCTATGAGAAATGTCTCGCCCCTTGGAATAATGTTTATCCATGGCACTTTCTTGTGTTCCAGAATGGTTAATGGTAATGATGCAGGATACATTATATATTTTATTGGGACCAGATGGGAAGTAAACATACCTCCTCAAGGGCTCAAACGTGGTCCCACACAAAAAACACACAAATGTGCACATAAACACACCTAGTAGAGTTGATATATAGCCATTGTATTTAGTAAACAGTTGTGCTTTTATGACTAATGAAAAGTTATTGTGGGATGTGGTCATTCCCGCATTTTCACACACTTACACATATTCAAATGTACAGTTTTTACCACACACACTAGGGCTGAACGATATATCGTGTCATGGCGATAACTGCGATATGCGCATGCGCGATATTCACATCGCAGGGACGTGCGATTTTATAAATGTTATATAATAATACATTTTTATTTTGTTTCATTTTTATTTTTTAGGACTTCTGATATTAAGTAGGTGAATTAACTCAAACACGTCATGTTACAATTATTTTGCTGCTTGCTACAAAAGGAAAACTTGCGCGGCTCTCATGTCAGGGGTACTTGAGTGAGTGACATTCACAGCAAACCACCAATCACAATCATTCTTGATCAGATCACAGCAGGCCCCGCCCCGCTAGTTTGCAGACCGTCAAAACACCGGTAAAAAATGAGCGAGGCACAGGAGGACAATACCGGCGAGAATGAAGATTTACTTAAAGAAAAGCAACATCTGCCATCTGGAACTATTTTGGATACAAAAAGGTTCTTCTCTTCTTCATTCACAGATGAACCCCCTTAGTTGAGGGTAAGCAACATGCATTATCATGACATGTTAGATCATGACTTAAGGTATGATGAGTCAACCAGTTAAGATCCAGACGTCCGTGACTAAAATCATTCATCCGGTTAAATATAGTTAAAAAAAACGCAATTTCATTTTTTTTCTATATCGTGCAGCCCTAACACACACACACACCACACACACACACACACACACACACACACACACACACACACACACACACACACACCACACACACACACACACACACACACACACACACACACACACACACACACACACCACACACACACACACACACACACACACACACACACACACACACACACACACACACACACACACACACACACACACACACACACACACACACACACACACACACCCACACACACACACACACACACACACACACACACACACACACACACACACACACACACACACACACACACACACACACACACACACACACACACACACACACACACACACACACACACACACACACACACAAGCTTTGTATAAAGTGCTACTTTTTTATTGAGTCTTAGTCCCGTGTCAAATGTCCTGGTTAAGATTTTAAACTACATTTCAGTCTTGCCTTTTTGTTCGTCAATGATATTTCTTGATGTTGTTATCGTCACCAAGTGTTTAATATTGTTGGTAGATTCTTGTAATATTCTCGATTTAGTCATCAAATAAAAGGTATACACACATAAACACATAAAAGGCATTACCTGGTGGGCGTCCTCCCATTTCTCCACATTGTCCATGTCCAACATGAGGCTGACTACCTGGAAGAGTTTCTAAACACAAGACGAAGATGTTGTCAATGCAGTTACTTAAGCTATGGTGCTACTTTAGGTAGAAAACCTGAAACCACTCACCATTTAAAAAACAATATTGTATTTATTTGCACACATATGAGACTGAATCAAATCCAATGAGAAAAATAATGAAAGCAGCAGTACCACACTTTATTCTGTAAAGTCTAGCAGAGTTTATCCTTTATATTGTAACACATAAAACAATGTCTGTCAAAGAACTGACTGAAACATGTTGTTCTCTTACAGGCAGTGAAAAGAGAGAAAATGCTGCAAACAATCCCATTTGAGGCTCGAGCAACTATGTAGTTCATTGTTATGCAGACCACGTGCAGTAGAAAATGGAGCCTCTATATTGAATATATTTGAAGGGGTTGCAAATGTAACTGTGTGTGTGGCTGTGTGTTTTGTTTGGTGACTTGAGGGTGCTTTTAGAGAAGGCTCAGTGGATTTTGCTCACCTGCACGTCGTCGGGAGCTGGGACGTAGGTTGCTCTTTTGAAGGTGTCCGTCACATTTCGCAGGATCTCCGTGGAAAAGAGAAGGTCGCCACTGTAGTAGCTCCCTCTCTGCAAGAGCTCCAGGAGAGTCCTTACGATCTGAGACATGCCCTCCCCAGCCAGGGTCCTCTGACCCTTCGCGAGATGCTCTCGTAACTACAGTGTGCAGAGAGAGACAGAAATTGAAAGATGCTGATGGTTTCATCTAACTGCATGTAGTAGACATATTCAAAAGAAGTAGCAGGTGAAAAATGACAAACCAAATATAATGTTTTCTTTCCTAAGAAATCACAGGAATTTTAAGGGTGAGCCGAAGGGGGATGAGTATACGGTTCACTCTATGTTGTACATGGTTTGATTTCTGTTCTAGTGGTTAAAATAGGCGAGCAAGCAACACTCTCACGCAGAAATTGGATCTCATCACTTCAGAGACAGAGATACAGAGAGCAAGACTGAGTGAGAATGTGAAAGGCAGAGAGAGGGAGAGAGGGCGAGAGAGCCTGGAAGAATAGAAGATAACTGCAATCACAGAAAATTAATTATTGACTCCTGGTGTTAATGAAAGGTTGAAACAGAAACGAACAGTGCAATCAGCTCCACGGTGCACAATCCCTGACCCCCATCTCCTTCTGCCATCATCGAGGAGATGAGAGGTTAAAGTTCAGAGAGCAGGAAAACAGTCTGGCTGATGAACACATTCATTAGCTATATTCATTAATTGATAAGTGTGAGCACAAAGCTCTGGAAAAGCTAATTAGAGATATGGCAGGCCTCGAGTACAGACACTCGGTTTATTTTGTGTTAACTTTTTAAACAAAGAAAGTTGAACAGAGGTACAGGATGGGTGAAAGAAGGACAATTGAGGTAGAACATAATGTTTGAAAATAGACAGAGCCTTTCCTTTCTCATATATTCAATAATGATTCAGAAGATGAGTTACGTGGGAGGTGATAAATAACTGGCTGAAATGATGTAATCTAGATGAACATACACATTAATTGTTTTCCTTCTAGAGGAAGAATTTCTAAGTACTTACAGATAAATGTAAATATCTATATTCAAGTGAGACGCATCTGGCGAAGCTCGGAGGACCCCAGAAAGCAACTCCATTATTATCCAGCATGCAACGACGACTAGCAGATCCTAGAAAGAGAGAAATAGAGAGAAATCGTTTATAATGAATCTACAAAATCGCAGAATCCATTCCTTGTAATATTGTGTCTAAAGCATTCCATTAATGATTAATAACCCTGCTGCTGTTTCCAGGCAAATAATACATGATGCTAAATTAAGAGAGATGTTCATTGTTTTAAAAATGATTTTAGTGCCCAAAACACATCTTGCTTGAATTCTTGATCTAAGAGTTATTCCAATTTGTAACACTAATAAAGTCGGGGTTAATACAGAGGCAGTCAGCTTGATTAATTTGTACGAGAGAAGCCTGAGCACATTTACAACCATTTACATCATTATATGCACTTTTATATTATTACAAATTAAAACCAAAAGGGGACTTATTCTACATTTGCCTTTTCTTGGAGCAGAATTGTTAAGAAGAATTGTTTGGCAGCTGCTGACATTTCTAACATGGCAGACAGCAGACACACTGGAGAAGCTGCCAAAATACTTTACTAAGACACCACATGTTTTCCTAGCCAAATAAGTGTTTTATAGTATGAGAGTGACATTAATCAAATGTTAAGTTTCACAGTTAATTTAGTTTGAAGCCAACCATAAATGTAATATTCTTGAAGCTTGAATATTTTACTGGCAAGCTACCTGATTCCTGCTTTCTACGTGTTTTGATGTCAGATCCAACACCATAGTTTGATAGATGTAGAAACACGATTATATCACAAGCATTCTGAACCACATCTGCTCTTGGCTTAAACTCTAAAGAAGAAAGTATCTACAAGAAAATCAAGGCTTGTTCTTGTTTTCGTTTTTAGAAGTTAAAAGGGAATGCCTGGCAGCCAGCTGCGCAAAGAAATCCTCAGTTTAAATTCAAATTACTGTGATAAGTAATTACTGTGATAAGTAATAAACAAATAAAGTTTGACTACAATCAAGCAGGACATATCTGCTGTACTGATGAATAGATGCTGGGTAATGCATGAGTTGAAAACAGTATAATGTCAACCAATATTTTCTTGATTTTATTCGTTGATTTGAGTTACTGCAGTCTTTCTGTCTCCAAAAGCTATCTCTCTGCTGCCCTTTTTTTCCCCTTCATTTTCTAATTTGTCTCGTTCTTTTTTATCTCGTTTTAGTTTATACTGTTCATGTCACCTACTGAGTTTGTTTATGGGGATAGTAAACTTGATCCTATTGGAAATGCTTTATGTAGCCTGGTCTTTTTTCTAGTGCTAGCTTTTTAGTTATTTTCGATGAACCAATACATTCACGTTTGTATAGTGTAATGTCTGTTGATATACTAATGACTCCAAGCTTAACACCATCAACATCTCTAGAAAGCCTTGGCTAAAATATTTTTTAAAGCCAACATATTTTGGACTGACCTGTGGCGTTAGTTGGACACTTGTTGTAGACAGTTTCTCCAGCTGAGGCCCTTTTCCATGACATAGAGAGAAGGTTATCTTCGTTACATATCTCATGAGGAGCTGTAGAGTAAGGTGAGAAATGCACAACAAATAAAGTCAATCAATTTCACTAGCATAGCACAAATACAAACAATAGAAGTTGACAAAAGTGCTGAACTGCCAAACAATACAATTCAATACAATGCAATAAAAAGAAGAAAATCAATACACATAATAATAGTAAAGCAATTGCAGCACAATAGAAGATCAAGTCAAGGTGTCAAGTTTAATTCAATCGAATGCTAAGAGGAAGAGTTGGGCCTTTAGCAGCGACTGAAAGGATTCTGTAGTCGAAGCAATTTGTATATGAATAAAAACTGTTCCACAGATTAGTGGCTGACACGGCAAAAGCTTTGTCACCACCGTTTTTGTGTCTAGTTCTGGAAAAAACCAGGAGCATCTGATTACTCGACCATATTGCTCTACTTAGAAGTAAGTAGAGCAAATTCAACCATTAAAATAAATCCGGAAATCGACAGGTAGAGGGCAAACAAAGGGGATATAAAAGGATGTTTCCTTTTTCCAGGAAGAAGACGAGCAGCTGCATTCTGAAGTAACTGCAGATGACTAAGACAAATGTTCTACACCCACATAGAAAGAGTAAGAGTAGTTCAATGTCTAACTAGGCTTTAAAGGGCTAACAGCCTTGACCAAACAAAGCAAAATATATTGGTTCATGAAATAGAAGTTGTCAAAAATAATGAGAATATTCTTAACAAAGGAACAAATGGGAGAAGCTAAAGTGCTCATCCGAATAAGTCAGGTCTTCCGAGATAACATGCTCAGTCCAATCTTTATTAAGATTAAAAGATAAAGTCCATCCAAAAGCTGCAATTATTCCTAAGTATTTGGATTTGTACAGCATCAGTTAAACAATGCAAAGGAATATCATCTTTCTAAAACATAATGGACACAAAGGGCAGCAAATAAGATAAAAACAGGAGAGGTCCCAAAATGTAGCTTTGAGGGACGCCACAGGTAAGTAGGCCCAAAGCCGAAGAATATGAACCTAAGCGAACCGAGAAGGCAGAGAAAACTAACATAAAGCAGGCAGGCACACAGAAAAAAAGAGAAATTACAATGCACACACTCCCATAGACACATACATCGCAGGAGATAAGGGAGACAGAGAAGCACCAAAAAAAAACAAGATTCAAATCAATGTTCTCCTGCAGCAGCTCCCAATCTTATTCCCTTGTGCATTGCTCAGTGCTCTGTGTCACTGCCTCAGTACAGTATCTCATTCCCTCTTCATCTCACCCCCTCTCTTTATTCATCTGTTTCCCCCCCCCCTCCTTCTCTTTCATAACCCTGATGAAAAAAAAAAAACCGGGGGAGTGTGCTCTGAAGATATTCCGAGGGGGCAGACGAGTGTTGGCAGAGGCAATGCATAGAGATGAAAAGGGACGGAGAGTGAATAGAAAGAGAGAGAGATACTTAAAAAGAGAGAAAATATGATATGATGTTCCCCTGAAATGCCAACAGAAAGGATCCGCGTCTTGTGTCAAATATGGTCGGGAGTTACTCAAAACAAAGGGGTCACGATGGAAGATGCACTCTAAAGTTGATAGTTTGTAGCCTGTCAGAGCTAAAAGCAAGCACGTACACCAGAGTTCCCGTTAGCCGGTAATTACCGGACTATGACCGGTCAAATATGCTGAAGACCGGCAAATCTAAATCTCTCCGGTCAAAGTGTCCGGTCAAAATAATTTCCCCTTAGCGCAATACTGCATCAGTTGCGCAACTTGCGCCACTTATGTGACTTAATCTACTGTTAGGGCTCACAAACTACATTCAAATATAAAAGAAAAACCACTGGTAATAACTTCCATGCTGCCTGACAGCCTACTGTGCATGTGATTGGGCACAGATACACACAATCTCCAACAGGGACGCAGCAGGAGCCGCATGCAGAGAAATGAAACCAAGCAAGTTTCCAAGCATGAATAATAAGTACATAAATTAACAGTGTTATCCCTCATTTTCTCGGCTCACACACACATTCAGAGTCACTGACCAGGGCACTTCTTCTCATTACAGGCCCGGACCTCCTCTCCTGAGCCCTCACATGGATAGCCCTGGTCTCCGGTCCCCTCACACAATCTGGAGCGGTGCTGCAAACCCGAGTCACATGTCTTGCTGCAGAGGCTCCAGTGGTTCCAGGTGCCCCAGTTACCTCCACCTAGAACAGGAGCATAGCACCGCCGGAGAAGATTGGGGAGCAGAGAGGAAGTGTGAGAGCAGAAGAAAGAAGCATGTTAGGTGAAGAAAATATGGGTGTTGTTGATGAGTAGCAAATTTAGGTTACAACTTCAAGGCTTTTTAAATGTGTCAGTGTGGTAACTTAATTAATAGGAACCCATTGTGGGCCCTAGGCTCAATAAAACACACTAGTATTTTTTGTCCTCCGGGAACCCCAGTCCAAACAAATTGGGTCCCAACCCACAAATTGCTGGTGTGTGGACTAGAATCAAAGAAAACCATACAGATGCCTTTAGATAATGCATGTTTGTATAATAACGTTTGCGAGTGTGAATACTAATAATTCATTTGTACGCCTTACCAGTGCAGGAAGGGTTGGTGCATTCTCTGCTCTCCTGATGATCCCCATTACATTCAGCCCAGCCGTGCACAGACGCACTGCAGCGCCTCTGTCTCTGCTGGCTTCCCGTGTTACAGGTCACACTGCATTTCAACCACGGCCCCCACTCCAACCACTGGCCCTCCACTAGACAGCGGGGAAAGGGGGTGAGAGACATAGAGAGACAGGCAAACTAATGAGATTGATAGAAGATTTTTGAGACATGGGGAAATCAGGGGATATTGATTCAGATTGGTGAAGCAGACTTTTGGGTCAAGAAAGGTGCAAAGGCAGAAAAGACACAGGACAGAAACTGTGAGCGGGCTACAAGTAAACAGAATATACAATGAGTTTCCATTAAAAGCAACACACAAACAAATAAACATATTTCTTTCTTTTATTGACATTATAAATATCTGTAGTGGAATTTGCCGATTACTATTCATATCATGCAGTGTTTTAAAGAGTTCACACAGAGTACAGACTGTTGGGGTTTCATTCAAAGTGATATTAGGCTCCACATGTGGATTATTGACTGTTTATGCAGAAATAGATGAATACACAAATGAACATCATTTCAGTACAATTCAGACCTACCAGTCGTAACAATGAATGAATATCAAATAGCTTAACCAAAGCCTCATGAGCACAGGTGTAATCAAAGCCCCCACTGTCCCCTTTAATAAGAGAGCATTCGTCAAATGGAATATCCAAAATGCAAAACAATTATGAAAACAGGGAGTTTAATCATTAATTGGGTGCACAGTTAAAGATGTCTGGTATGCCATTAACTTCAAAGCTTGTAAAAGACCATTTTGAGGATCTGTGTCACAAAACAGAACACAGCGTTCTGCTGAGAAAAGGCACGGTAGCTGAAAGACATCTGTGACAAATATTCTTAATTCATTCCTCAATGTATTTTTAATTAGAACCCTTGAGTAAAACCGAAAAATGACAGGAGAACCAAATACTAACCCGTGACAATGTCCATTTATATGTTATAATACTCTTTATAAAGGGACTTAATATTGTATTGTTGCAAATGGTAATTATTGATCTTTTTTATGTATTGTTTGTTTATCAGACACACGGTGATCATTTGAATTGACAAACAACACAAGGCTTCATTGTGTTGACAGCAGTGTTACTATGTCCTGCCTCCAGCATATGGACCTGAAATATGCTTTGAATTGTCCTATTTTGCAACATAACTGTACTGAACAAAGTGTAATGTAATGTAGTGTTAATTGTAGTGTTAATTGAACTATTCATATCTTAGACTGCACTGTAACTTTTATCCATGTACTTTTTTCTTTTAATGTTTATTTTATTAGCTTTTCTTTTTAATGACTGATTTTAAATGCCATTTTCTTAATCTCTTTCATTTTTTGTAAAGCACTTTGAATTGCCTTGTGTTGAAAAGTGCTATATAAATAAACTTGCCTTGCCTTGCCTTGCCTAATGATTTTAACCTCGATTTTAACTGAAATTCTCACAAAACATTTAACTCAGATGACCTTGTTAAGGGGTAATGGTGAGCTAGTCAGCGAGCAATTATGTATTATATATTGTACCATCTATTCAGATCCAACAATGTTTTGCTTAAAAAGCGGCCAGCTCTTGAAAGTGATTGATGGAAACGGGCCTGTAAGACGAAACTAATACATTCAAACTCCATATAGAGCAGAGTGAGCATTATCTGTTGGTTTAACTACAATTGAAAGACATTTGATCAATCAAAATATTGCTGTAGAGCTTGCATACAACTGATATAAGTTGGATTTTTCTATTTAATGTAACCTTAAGTCAAGCCGAGTTGATGCAGAGGTCTATGCTGAAAATAAATATACATTATGAATGCTCTGATAGTTCGAGGAAAGTCTTTTTTGAATATGTGTAGAATGAATTAAGTCAAGGTAAGTTTAATCACATCTTAACAGGCTATGAAAAAGAGGTCTGTATATAGCTATTGTGTATGTGCTTTAATACATCAGCCTGTCTATTTGTGTTTATATTAAGAACAGCAATTCAAAGTGAGAACTATTACTTGTTTGGGCTCAAAATGATATATCGAGGCACACATTCTACACACAGGGGCTTTAAGTAGCAGAGAATGTGAAGTACAGTCCAGTAAATGTATTTGTCTGGTTCTCCCAAGTGGGAAGCCATTGCCATCTATCCTTGGTAATGTGGTCAATCACGCTGTGTGTGGCTTTTACTCTGTTCCAACAAGCTGGGGCCAACGCTGTTGGGTAGCATTTCAGTGTGAACGTGACAAAACAAACGGCATATAGAAACCTAGCATGGGAACTCTCTCCTGTGAGGGTTTTCTTGCTAGTGACTTCAACTATTAGACAGTATAGCAAATGACACATAGGGATTCATGTCTGACTGTTTATTTTATATATAGCTTGTTTCAGATGTTGACATTATAAAAGGCCTAAAATCAATTATTCATGTGTGACATTTCTGCTGGTTTAACTCTTAATCTGTTGATTGTAGTCATATGTGATGCATCAGCTGCCATTAACATTTACAGCTTTGCCTTAACATGCATGCATTTGCCTGATGTCTTAGTCTGTGTTTACATACGTGATGAGCCACTGTGAAGATAAGAAATACTAGTGAAAGAGAACACATTTGATTAATTCCTGTGGGTTTAACACTGTGCAGTATAGATAGAGCATATTATAGTATACTGTCTGAATATCTGCCTTCAAATAAGATCCAATCTTTGAGACATAAACACACAAACATACACACAAAGGATCCATCAGAGTTCTATTTTCTATGCATGGAGGATTTTGCCAAAAGGCCTGTGCTGGTATTCATAATTTCAAAGGACCATTTGCCTTTGAACTCCCATAAGCAAGCAGAATCTGTTGTGATAGATGCACACACTCATACACAAACACATAAACCATACGAGTACACACATACACACATTTCCTTCAGGCCCTTGAAGGAAGAGCCTTCCTCCCAAACCCCCTATTTCCATCACTGTTCCCAAAACAGCATGGCAAAACATCCCGGAGGCCATACTTAGGATTACGACGTCTCCCTGTTTCTTCCTCTTTGAGCCATAACTTTGCAGCCTCCTTGTCTGGCAATGGGGACAGTTTTGTTTTTAAATATTAACCTTATAAAACCACTGCTTTGAAAAAAAACATTAAAACAAAAAAGCCACACAAAAAACATGACTCAGTCGGGAGCATAACAACACTAAATCTTTAGCCAAGAAAGGCTTCAGTGGCATTCACATATATAATGTCATAAAGGTAAAATAAAAAGGATTCTTTACCTTAGCAATTGTAAATAAAAATCACTCACCCTGTTATAATTGCTTAGCCAGTGAGTGATTACATACGCATAAGCACACACTCAAAACAAGTCGGGATTTAAAACGGTTATTACACAAGCCGTCTTGTGTGTTAGTTTGTTGTGTCCATTGATGCCATTATTCCAATGTTATATAGAAACCTCTGAGAATGCAGCAAGCACACATTTAATAACTAGAATTAATATTCCGTTCTATTGTCAATGCTTTCATATTAAGTGGTTTTCAAAAGTGACACTTTAAAGAAACATTAACATCGCACAGTGGCAATATATGTGCCTGAAGTGTAGTTTCAAAATGCCAAAGGGTTTTCCTTTCATAAAGTTGATCACATCTAATGGGTAGATGTAAGTATTTTCATCTCAAATGTTTGAATCTGGAAACCTCCTCTGTGATAGGCTGAGGTAGCTGTTGGCCAACACCTCCCTCTCTGTTTTGTCAGACTGGTATTGAGAGCTTATTTCAAATCGCTATTCTGTCCTTTTCCACTCCAATGCAGCCTGATGAAGATGTTTCAGCTGGGCAGCCTGAGCCAGATTGGAATAAAGTCCCGAGATACCTTTGATACTAGAATTAGATGGGGCTGCACCAGTGACTTATTGCTGTTCTTGACAAGGTATAGACCTAACAGATAATCTCAGAGACAAAAGCTGAAGACCTCCACGGCAGGACTTCTTAGCAATCTAAACCGAGCCAACCATGGAGGAAGCATAGAAGTCCAACCTAAAGGCGTTGCTAGGCTACGACCCAGCACGATTTCTGGTGTGAGCGTTGAGGGGTGGGCATGACTGCAATGGCTGACCAGAGGTGAACATGACACTGAAAAGGATGCAGGAGATTAAGCAGTGAGCATAAAAAGGCGGGATATATGGAGGTTGTTGCATTCACGCCATGTCAGCAGAAAAGTTAGAATGGAAACTATTTCCCACTACTCCAAATTGGAAGTGTTCATGCATTATTCCAATTTGTTTACACCCATAACTAACATTGTCACACTATAGAATCATGGAAAGTAAGCCCAATTTAGCCATTTGCATTGTGGTATGTTAACTACATTTGTCGAATTCCAATAACGGGTGAAACAAATAGTTTATATTCTAGATCTTGTGTACAACATTAGACAGGAGAAAGAAAAAGGAAAGCAGCAAACTGTCAAACCAACAAGACAGAGTAAAAGGCCTCACTAGAGGTAATTGAGGATGAATTTAGGGACTATGGTGCATTGAGCAAAATGCTAACATCAGCGGGCTAACATGCTCACAATGATAAAGCTAATTAATTCCGCAAAAAAGTGTTTACAATATTTACTATCTTAGTTCAGCATGCTAACTCTACTATTTAGCACCACTAGAGATCAGTAGTTAAGGCCTCAAACAAAGTAAAATGTTAAAACTAAGAAAAGTCAAGCTGTAGCTAATGGAGGCTAGCGTGTATGTTTTTCTACTCAACTGCTCCTACAGTCTGCAAAACGGGACATAAGTGTAGCATTAGTCCAATTATTAATTAAGTAGAGGAGGGAGTAACTTGGTCACTACAAGAGCATAGTGGAAGAACAGAAAACATGAATGCAGTGACAAAGTGTAGATATAAAAGTTGTTTTTGAAAATGGTGATCCATGAAAAGACAGAGAGACATGCTGGTCTGGGTGTATCATGTAAATGGAGATGGTACTAACCAGGACACACTGCTATGTTGCAGAGTTTGGTCTGAGTCTCGGGATATCCACAAGCCATTGCCGCGCTTCCGTTTACACACTTCCTGGTTCGAGTCCTGGAGCCCCGCCCACAGGTCACAGAGCACAGACTCCATGACGACCACTCCTCCCAAAGCCCATGCACTGCAAACACCCACAAACATATGCACAACATGGGGATGGGAGATGAGGGATTGGTCGGAGCATCCCATCGCAGGCAGGAGGGTTAGAGAATGGGAGAAACATGAGATATCAAATGAGTCTGAGAGCACATTCCAAACATGAAGGAGGTGAACTTCTGACCTCCATAAAAAAACATTCCAGTTTCAATGGACAACAAGCATTGAGAATGTTGCTACATGAAAGAGAATGGAGGTTAGGATCGGGCGCTTTTTTAAGTCATGCAGCTTGAGTCATGATAACGAAATGAATGTGGAAAGTTTGCCTCTGAAAGTATTAAAGCTTTCAGTTAGTATGTAGAGGTACCCAGACGATCCAACACTCAACTGACTTCAAACACCAATTAAAGAATCAAAATGTTTCTCATCCTTTTCCCTCCCTTTTGTTTTGTATTATCTCTATTGCACATTTCAACCCTTTTTTGTTGCACCAACTAACAATGAAATACATTGATTAATAGAATACATGAGAAGAGTTGCCAAACATTTTTGCAGACAATGTGAATTTTTGTGATGCTGCTTGACTGACACCAGGTTCTTGCATGTCTTATTTCACAGTGTTCAAGCTTTGTTAGGCTGGCATATTGTGCCATTTAAGAGAACAACTAATACAAACAAACGTTCAAATAGGGCTAAAAGGGTATGATTATGTTGAGACAGATAGAGGAACAATTATACAAAATAAATGTTTATTAGGAGACACCAAAAAAGGTAACAATGACATAATGAACGTGTCAAAAAGAGGAATGAATTCAAACAGATATATTTGTAAAAGGAGGAGAGTGAATGTGAAAGAACACAACAAGATATGGGCTCAAAAAGTTTATCAGACTTTGGGATAAAAGAAAACAAGACGTTTTTTCGAAAAACACTGAAAGCCTCAGCCAGAGACCAGAGGAGATTAAGCCGTGTTGAAAGACATGGACAAAAGAGAGGTGAACATTTGAAGAGATGCTGAACGAAATATAGAAATCAAGATATAAGATTGGGAAGGGAGAGAAAGTTAGAGACAGCAGGATGAAGATTGCTGGTCCTGTGTTGAGCAAAGCTAAATAAATTATGGCGATAAATAATTTAGCCGACTCTGTGAAGCGAGGCTCAGAGGAGCAGGAGTAGAAGGCTGAGATAAAGCGAGAGTTCTATGGTATTAAGAAGTACAGAGATACTGCTGGTAAATAGTGAAATATCCTCAATTTAAGTTAAAAAGATGGTATCAGTGCTTCTTAATAAAGCTGCTCTACAAAATGGCTATACCGTATGTTGCAAGAGTAGAAGGAAATAAGCAGCATGGGGATTGTATCCGTACTTTAGTCTTAAACTTTATGAAATGCCTTTTCCAGCTCAAAAGTGGGCCGTGCTGAAATGAAGTACAAGCAAGATGTTAACTTAGCAAATATGTATTTTTTTAAACGCTTCCATGACACAAAAAAACTTCTAACATAGAGAATAGTGGTTAAATATTAACCCATTTGTTCGCTCATTTTAAATATTGAGGACGTATCTTTGAGAATACTTCATTAATGAGCTGTTTAATATTGATTTCGCATTACATACCCCCAATAGCAAAACATAACTCAAGTTACAATGGCAATAACTTTGTATTGTATCGGACTAAATAGCAGAATAGCGCCGGCTAGGTTAGCGTCAATCTTGGAACCGTTTGCTATCAGTTTGAGAAAGATTCAGGGACAAACCAAAAACAAGTTATCAAGACTGTAAGAATAATTAAAAATAGCTAGTGCAATCCAATCATTTTGGTAGTTTTAAGTCATACTCTGGCCAGCAATGAACAACCAGTGCAATCTTTTATTTATTTGAAATGTCATTATCATGTTACTGGTTTGAAAGCATTGTTTGTACTGCAGTATAAAAGGCAATGTTGGGTTCTTAATAGCGAAATTAGTCTGGCATCAAATATGGAATAAGACTGATTTCCAAGTCCTGATAAAAATAAAATATAATCCTCAAAGTGAGGCAGATTTCTTAGGTGTTTCTCATCCCACACTGCCAAACTTTTTCAGAAGACAGAAGCAACGTGATACAATAACAAGTTCAAAAATAAATACAAATACAGTCAATCAGCTCAGTAGGAGCAATTGTAACCTTCCTTTTTTCTAGCACACTACAAGATTGCTTTGTAGGACATTACTTATTCATTGAAATTGAATCTTCATCTATCAAACCCCGTAAAAAAAAAACACACAATTCAGTCGCAGTTCTGTTATTTAGCATATTTTTGTTTTTTACTTCGACACTACAAGATTGCTTGTAAGACATTACTTATTCATCCAAATGTATTCTCCATCTCTCAAACCAAGAACAAGTCCATCCGTCTGACTGTGCAAAGCCAATCATTTAGCCTATCAAATCAAGCGAGAGCAGCTTTGGGTCTAAGACACATTAGTGGAAAAAATATAAATTGGAGAAACAGATAATCAAATTAAAGAGTAACAAACACATACAAATGTCTTCAGAGACAGCATTTAGGATGTTCTTACACCACCTATTGGTGACAGAGTAATCACTTCCCATCGAGTGGTATTTCCAGTCATAAAAAAAGCAGTTCTTTGAAATGTGTTGTCTATATTAACAACACTATTAACATAAAACAGCTCTTTGTAGTTCAACTGTGCACATTAAAAGGGATGTTATTGCCATCCGTGTTGCAGTCACAGAGGGAGATGGAAAAGAACATGTTTAAAGCAGCAGGACAAAAAATAAAATTCAAATAACAACCTGATGAACTTTGAAACCCCAAAGTGACAGATATATCTCTTAACACCCATTCACAAAGTTAATGAACGCCAGATATTCATCTTTGCAAGAGAATGGTGAAAAAATAGGCTCAAAGAGAAAGGAGAAAATGTCCATGCACACTTTTCTTTATTCAAACATGCATACACATTTAGCAGCTATGCCTAATTAGAATGCAACACTATAATTCTCGTCTTTAATATCTATTTCATTTCAAATATAAGTACTAACGATGTATGATGTAAAAAGATATCGGCTTTAACTTTTTCTAGCTTTTGGAAATGCATATTCTCTAATAGGACACATGCATCATATTGATCCTAAGAATGACCATCATTAGTAGCAGTTTCCTCTGGTTGTAGCACGGCAGAGCTGCATTATTTAAAGCTGCTTATAAGGCTCTGTGCAAGTGTAGTTTTGTGTGTTCTTCCATTAGTTTATGTATCCTCGCATGCACCCTCGGTCTCTTTTCTAAATCATTACCGGAAGTGTGATGTAGCAGCGATTGACTACGCACTGACCCACACTCACTGTATTTATAATGCACAATTGTTCCGCTCCATATTTTAAATGTCACTGAATCTATGGTAAATGAGCAGTAGCTAAACGGAACAGAAGTAGAGGGATGCTACTTTACTTTGCACGCCTTGGGGCATAAAAGACTTCAGTACATATTTTAAAAAAAGTTAATTTGCCAAAGCAATTACTGCCTAGTTTGCTTTGTCAAGATGCAGTGCATTACTTAAAATTGATTATCTGTATCACCTTAATTTAGGAGTTTTATCCTTGAGAAAACAAGGAGATTTTTATTTTTCTATTTTCACTTCATTGGCTTTCTGTCCAAGCTACTTTTCTTTGATGTTCCCTAACTTGTGCAGACACACATACACGCATGCACAGAGTGCCCAGAGACATATCCACCCACACTCATAAAATACCCATACATCTAAGTCCTAACTTTTGCACAAACACAAATAAATGTTAAAAAAAAAGCCGAAAATTGAACATTCTGGCCAACTGAATTTAAGTATGCAGACTGCACTCTCCCCACCTCAGGATACTCTGGGAGAAACTGTGAAATAGTGAGCGTGTTCACACTTATGTTTGCTTGTGTGCCTTGTATATTTTTGAGTGCATAATATGCATATGAAACAGAATAGAGGATGTTTATTAAGAACATTTCCCTTGCAGATCTTTCAGATAAATCAGTGAGTTGGCTCGATTGGCCGTCATGTTCTAAACATCAGGGTTGAAAAGGCTCATGCTTGCATGCCTGAGCTGTTTATGTGTCGGATTTTCTCAGATTCAAACTGCATATGTTGGATCTTAGAGCATTTGATGTATAAGCAAGGGAAACATTATATTGAGATTGTTATATATGCATGTCATGTCTTTTTGTTAGGCTTTAATCTAAGAGCAAATGGATCAACCAATCCATCAAATGTGTTGATTTTAAATCAGATTTAAAAAAATTAAAAAAATTCTATCACATCAAGTTCATTAAACACTTGTATGTCTCTTTGCTTACACCCCCACATTCTAAGTCTACTTGAATTTGGTGTGATCCCATTCAGGCAATCCCAGAGGTGCCACTCCCCCCCTTCAGAACCACGTCAGGAAACATCAGAGGAGTGAGGGAATAAATGAAATAAGAAATGGCACATAACACAACAACCAATATCCCATCAAAGGAGCGGCTGAGGATATTAATTTCGACACTGAATGGAAAATGAGGCACTTAGATATACAAATCGCGTTGGCGCATTTGCATAAAAACAAGATTAGCATATGCACCGACAGGGAAGGGGAAAATCTGCTTCTCGTTTCTCCATTTTCATATTTTCTTTATGGTTTTAAAGACTTTAATAAACACTGAATGACACCTACATCTGAAGTAAAAGCACGAGTGTGCAAATAAGAAATCTGCAAACTCATACCAACATACAGAAATCGCAATTGAAACTCACTGTTTTGCACTTGAAGTATAATGATAAATAAATATCTATTAAATAACAATAGCAACACATTATACATACATTGTGCACACTTAGAAGCAAAGACCTTGAATGAGCACAAATGTGGTACAGAGGAATTAACATAGGGAAAGCTTGTGACATTTGAAAATGTTGTCTAATTTGAAGGTTTTCCTATAAAATAGTTCCTCATCCACTGATTTTCAAGCAATGTGTGGAAAGGACCTGTCCAAAGATGGCGCTCTTTTTAGAGGCTAATGCCCAATGACCCCATCCTATGCTTTCCCGATGACACTTAGACAGAAGTCGCTCCTTTTTTAATTATTATTATTATTATTTTTGTAAGTTATGGGCTCATACTTTTCAATTCATAATCCGTCATATAAAAACATCACTGTTATTATTAGAATGGAACTATATGGAGGACATTGGTGCTGTTGTTATGTGATGCACTTTCTCAGGTGCCACAGGGATCAGAGATATTAGCCTACAGATGTCAAAAGAAAATAAAGAATCATGCCTTCTTCCTTCCCTTAAGGAAAATACTTGTTCAGGCACTTAAACACTGCTATATTTAAGGAGCCAAGAATCTAATTTCCAGGTTTTGACAGGTTCACACGTGGACAAAATATCCAAGGCGAGATTTTCCACAGTTCATTTTTTCCCACTGGTGTATTTCTTCATGTGAAGCACCATGGAAGTAGACAGGCAACACAATGTGAAGCTAACAGATACCTTGACTGTCTCCTTTGTGGTTAAGACTGTAGCGCCAGAGCCTTGAGCTTGAAAGAGTACTGCATTGATTGAACTTAGCACTAACGTAAGACTCTCAGGCTCACAATGGACAGTTCAAAAGTATCAAAATTGATGCAGCAGAACAAGAGATATTGCCTTTTTGTGCCATACATTTGTCTCCGCTGTCAAGCCTTGGCACCTACATTGCCTGTAATGCAACTAAAGTGCCAACGGTTCGGTCTGAGTTGCGGGTGTGTCACGCTATATTTTACCGAGCAACACTGAATCTTGGTCCTTACTGGAGCTGAAAGTACTGAATCAGGATTTCATTTCAAATGCAATCAGGACAACCAATCAAACCAGAACAAGACGGGAAGCACTTCAACATTTCATCTAGTGAAGACCTACACAGGCAATCAAACCCAGAGCGGAACTCACATTATTCAGAATGAGAGGTACACAAGTTCCCCCAGCGACTTGATCTGGCTTGATTGTGTTGTGTGTTGCTGAGGTGCTCATCAGTTTGATCCAGCCTTTTTGGAGCAAGCAGACAGGGTTGAATTGGCAGAGCAGGCTTGCATATGAACATTTTACTTGATCAGTTAAACATGTTTTGGAGAAGCCGTTAAATCTAAAATGTCAAAGCAAAAGATGCAGTTGCTGTTGTTTACATGTTGATTTGGTGTTTTAACTGTAATGCCAACATGCCAAGGGTGATTTTATTGTTGTATTCTTCTTAAATGTCCATGTACAGTAAGCTTAGTAAATGTTACCGTTCATTGTTAATCAAACATCAGCTAAGTGTTCATTATACCAAATGCCTGCATAGGTAGATATAGAAAATAAAATGGAAATAGGAGCAATGCTGAACGAAAAAGTAAAAGAGGAGAGCTGGATATAGAGAATCCAGGAAGTATGAACTTCTGAGCTGTGGAAAGTCTAATAGACTTGCTGACATTGAGCTTAGGTGTCACGTCTGTCTCCCCCTCTCTCTTCCTCACTCTTCCTCTCTCCCTCTCTCAGCTGGCCAGCAGAGTGAATCGAAATGACAAAATTAGATTCTCATTCTGTGGGTTCTTTTCTGCTTGGTTAGATTGTGTTTTGGCTGAGTAGATCCCATGTGATGTGAGTGGTTGTGTGTGTGTGTGTGTGTGTGTGTGTGTGTGTGTGTGTGTGTGTGTGTGTGTGTGTGTGTGTGTGTGTGTGTGTGTGTGTGTGTGTGTGTGTGTTTGTGTGTGTGTGCTTGCCGCCTACCTTCCTCAAAAGTGACAGTTTTCACACTGTCATTATTTTTCTTCAGTTTTACAGCTTTTCTAACACATTCTAAACAGACAAGTACATGCTGCATGGGTGAGTGAGGCGCTTAGCACAAAGCTTATGTTTTAAAGCTGCCTTTAGTCAATCTGTACGTTTAAAAAAACTAAACCAAACCAAACCGTAGCCTGGAGTAAATTCACATACTGTATGTATTCGGTCATTATTTTTGCAACAATGCTAAACCGTTTTCGTTTATTTTTCCCTTATTCTCCCTCCTTAAAAGCCTGGGGCATATCCCAAAACACCATATGGGTAGAAAAGCACCCTGTAGAAGTCAGCAGGGACTGAAGAAATTAAGAAAAAGAGGCTTCCGTGGCAGTTATTTCAACCCCTTGCTTAATTAAACGGCACAAAATACAATGCACAAAGAAAAAGATAAAACCCTTATTATTTTGTGCTTGTAAGACGACGTTTCTAATCAGTTGGCTCCACTCTGGGATTTCAGGGAATGCTGAAAGTTAGTGAACATACCTGAGCCCGAGATGCCCGGATCGCCCGGACAGGAAGCGGTGTTGTTGCACATGCGTGTTTCCCGCAGGGCTCCGCTGCATAGTGTCCCATAGGGAGAGGAAACGCATGATCGCGTCCTCACTTGCCAGCCTTGCCCGCATGTAAGAGAACACACGCTCCACTGAGACCACTCCTCTGCCGCAGGGTCGCCTGAAGAGCAAGACGGAGGTGGACAGAGACAGGGTCATTCTCAATGATTCTAGTTCTAGGGATTTTACCGCTTCTGAGAGAGTGAAAACTGAAGAGGCAGTTGTTCTGGGAATGATCACAGCCCACTGACACAACAGCTTATCGTAAAAAAACAAGGCTTTAAACCAAAGTAATAAAGCATGGGGGATGCATCCATGTAGTTCTAGACATGGATGTTCATATTGTCTCGTTAGATTTGTAAGTGTTTAGACTGTGTAATCGTAATACTTGTACCATGGGGGTATACAGCCAAAAAAAGCCACAACAAAAACGGAGCTACCGTAACTTTGAGTGAACAGCACTTAATTCTCCCTCCAAATGTTCCCAGGACCGAACAAATCATCACGCTTGCTTTTTTGATTCATGTTGGCAATTCTAGGTTTATTTACTGAAATAAAATGAAAATCCCTACAGTAGGACGGCAGTGACACGTTGCATTATTACAGTGGTACAATACAAGAAAAACTAAATTGTAATGCATACATTTGTCAAGAGAAAAGCCTGGGACTTTTCAACAGACTCTAGGATTAGTGTTTATTTCCCCCCCTGATAAAAGCACAAGATATTTATTTTGAGCTCGGCTTACAAAGGGTACATTTTTTCAAGTGTATAATCTTGACATAAACTAGCTAAAATGCTCTGTCATTACCCAATAGTCTGTATGATATTCCTGCAGAAACAAGTATGGGGAATTTGATTCAAGCTCCTTAATGTGAATACACCTTGATTGAATATTCATAAGGATGATGATCCTGTTCAATCCAATGAATACTCATGGAATTATGATAACACAAGATCTCCCAGATAATCCAAGATGGATTGCTTTAGTTGTTAATTTAGTGGCAAAGATTGGGATGTTTTGTGGGGGATTGTGAGTTCTGCAGGCGGCTGGGAAGAGACTCCCACTGTTCCCTCCGAGTTACGCCCTTGACAGCGAGAAAAAAAAGTGTGAAGTCATCGCGCTTCTCTCTTTCTAAATTGTTTATGAGCGCCGTGTCCTTTGATCGAGGCGTCATCACATGGCAAAGAAGGAAATCTAATTAATTGCATGTCCGTTAATCGCATTACATCTTCATTAGCATGCCGTGAGTCAGGGCTTAAGCTCATCACACATGCCTGGAGGAGTGGAAGAATGGGGAGAAGAGGGGTGGGGGGGGGGAGTATGAGAAGGACAAGACAGAGCCAGGGGTTTCACTTGTGGTAGGAACTCCTTCCTCCACACACTGGGAGCTATGAATATGTAAATGTGTGTGTGTTTATATGTGTATGCTTATGGGCACAAATGTGTGTATGACCTATTCTAACGCGGGTGAATCAGCCACCATGTAATGTCATGTATGTATAAGACAGATTCCTCTGCTTATATAAACTACATGTGACATATTTAACATGGATCATGTCATAAATAATCCCATTAGTTATTTGTAATCCTATTCATTATGTACGATTCGCACACACGCAACGGCCAACTACAGTAGCCGCCCCGGAGATCAGACAGGCTTCGGAAGGTGAATATAGAAATGATTTATAAGGAACTTTTTTATTTCGTGAAATACACCGCCTGTTAAGTTGAATTCTTGCGTCCCAGGCTGGACTCATGCACACATTACTCACCAGTTTGTGCCTGAAACACACCTGGCTGGTCAGCTGATCGAGGTCTCTGGGTCTTCACCTTCAGATCATCATCTTCAAATGGGTCTGAAATGGAAAAAATTTAGATTTTACTTACATTTAATTGTTCAGCTTGTATTGAATAGCACAGCTGGATATAGGTAATGCAGCACGAAGTTGAACTCTAAGAGCATACATGCTGGTGTGTAGATATCAACCTCCTTTACTACAAACATTTGTGCCAAGACATACAGATCGTTGTTTTTAAAGCTGTAGTCAACAAGTCTTCATAGGCATCGATATGTACTTTGTGCATTCAGAGAAGTAAAAAAAACACGTTTTTTAGTACATCCAAATACGACTCTGGCAAAAATAATACACAGACGCCTACATTTCCTTGGCTTGCTCTCTGTTACAGAATATTTAAAGCACACACCGATACATTTCAGCACACATCGTACTGAAATGTAACAGAACGTCAAGTCTACAGTATAATCTCAGAAAATCAGGTGGATGCTTACCGTCTCATTAGAGGCAAAGCATGAAATGTCAATTAAATATAGGTTGAAATGCAATGTGAGGAACGATAAGTAAGCAAGCTATAAAAAAAAGCCTTGACATGGTTATGAAAATGTACAAATAGTAAAGCTACACTGGAGAATGGCCTGGATCTGATTTGTCAGAGAGCTTATTTATATTAGAACACCTCATATAAATGTAGAGCAATAAGGATTTGTCGAAACAGAACGATTGCCTTGAGAGGAAGTTTGGAGAAAGCGAAATCATGCAACATATCTAAGTCAGTTTATCTCAATTGGTACAAACATACTGAGGCACAGTCTTCTGATCTGTGTGCAAATGGATTTGTAGGCTTAGTTTCAGCAACTCAAGACTTAATCAACTCCCTCGGCAGTAGAAACAATCTTTGATTTAACAGATCAGTTTTTACTTGGGTACTTTTTGCCTATGGGATGTTCTGCATTGCTTGAAATTACATGAAGCAGCTGAAACATACAGTTCACATGAAAATGTCATTGTGTGTGAATTAGATTACAGAGTGCAAAAGTGAGATTTCCCACATTAACTTCTGTCAAAATGTTGGCCTGAGGAAGAACACATAGGCACACACACACACACACACACACACACACATATACCATGCATACATCACTTCAGGGGACATTACATTGACTTACATGCATTTCCTGGAGACTTATCCTAACCTTAACCATAACCAACACATGCCTAACCCTAACCCTAACCCTTACCCTTACCCTAACCCTTACCCTAATCCTAAACAAGTCTTCACCCTAAAATGAATGATTCCCCTTATGGGGACCTCCAATTTGTCACCATAAGGGAGGCGATTCCCCACACGTGTCTGTGTAAACAGATGTAGGTCCCCACAAGTATAGTAATGCTAGCCACACACACACACACACACACACACACACACACACACACACACACACACACACACACACACACACACACACACACACACACACACACACACACACACACACACACACACACACACACACACACACACACACACACACACCTCGTAGTTAGGGTCTGATTGTTCGAACGCCCATCACAACCAGCACTCTAATTTGGCCTTTTACAAAAATAACCCTTTGAAAGGAATAAAAGACTTGTACTTGTCATCGTCTAGATCTCGCCTTTTGATCGATGTTGTCCAACTCTCCCTCCCATTCGCTTGTTGTGCTTCGTTCTCAGCAGGACCACTTGTGCTTGAAGGCCAAAGAAAAATATTCTTTCTGTGAAATAATGTGGTATTTGTGTTGTTGTGCTGTGTAGATAATATCTGCATCTGTCCCTTGTTAAAACAAACGATGCATGAGTGTGTTTTTTCTCTATATTGAGACGAGCAAATTGTGCAACAGCGCTCTGAAAGTATTTCGAAGACATATTTTATCTAGTCGACTCTTTGCCTAAAAAAGACTTCTAGAATACTGTTGCGTTTCATATGACAATCAAACAGAAAGTAGTGCTGCACATACCAGCAGCTCTGGGATTTACAGGTTTTTATTAGCTATAGTCGGGTCAGAGCACAGTACAAACGCCCACTTGCTGAGCTGCAGGTTTTACAGTAATATCTTACACCTAAAACCTTGTGCAAGGATATATTGCTCCTACTCTGAGCTAGATATTTGTAGCTTGCAATCGACAGTCCTTAGTTTTCTACATTCATCTTCACTGTTATCTCCCACCATAATAAGATGACAACTCATCCTAAACAGTCGACATTCACACAGAAGGATATAGTATACACTTTTGTTTTACGTAGGTAAAACTAGAAACGATTTTATTAAAGGTCAACTGTCTACTTAATGGATTCTAGAGTTACCTCAGTGGGAAATCAGTGACTCACAATATATCACCATTTTCAACAAGATAACTCAGAGTTTCACTTTAAACAATTCAGAAAAATTGATCTATATTGAAGGCTCAAGACAAAGCTCCGATCCGTGTGTCTGAATCATCTTATGGCAGATTCGGCCACAAATTAAGCCATTGTGTGGGAGCACATTTAGCCTTTTGGGATACAGAGGTTAGTGAAGCAGGGCAGTGGAGTAACGTCTCACATAAAATGACCAGTGAGGAAAACTTTTCTCTATCTCTTTAATATCTCTCTCTGTCTCAATGTGTCTGCTTTCTCACCCTCTCTCCCCCAGGTCTACAGCACAGAGGAGGATTTAGATGGACACCGCTGCGGAGTCCGGCATAATCGAAGGTAAAGATCAATATGGATAAACCCCTCATGAGTACTGACCTTTACAGTCCCTACTTTATTGTTTAATGTTCTCGAGCACACTTAAATGGACACATCATTGCACACTTCATCCAATCTTCTTGCCCTCTCTCATCCCTACTTTGTTACATCAATTTCAGCTGTTTCTTCATCTCCAAAGGAATCTGCTTTTCATCTGTAGCTGTCAGTATCACTCCAATCGGGAGAAAGGTCGATAACCCTATGATTGGTCAGGAGCAGAAGTGGAGATTCAACATTTGAAATGATGCCTTAGTGTCCTCTGACAGAAGTGTCAGTGGGGTCCTCGAATCTTGCCCTGACAAATGAACAAATGCTTTAGTAACAGTACAGTGCATGGGACATATAGGTCATTGTCATTTGTTATGTAGGGTTTAAGGGCATTTCAGTCCACACAAGTCAAGCTGCCTTTATAAAGTGGATTAAACAAAATGTTGTTAAAAGAATATGAATACAACTGATAACAGTGCAAGACCCTGCTTTAATAACCAATTTCATCCGTCTCTTATTTTAGGACAACCATTTGATTTGTCTGCTTTTTTTGAACCTGCTAAGACGAAAGCAATACTTCCCAAAGTCATTCAAGTCTTTGCTCTTTGATCTCTCTCTTTCTTCACAGACCAAACATTTTGATAAAGTAGCATGCCATGTATAAAGACCGAGTCACATCCACAGCGTGGTGATCGCTATCGCTCAGCAGGCAGCTTTGTCAGCTTCCTAAACGGTATGCAAAGAGCGACAGGATACCCAAACACACAAATGAATACATAATATTGGACACATTAAAAATCACACACGTAAGCAGTGTCACCAAATCTCAAATGTATACCTTCATGTAGCTCAGACACACGCTGAGACACACACACACACACACACACGCACGCACGCACGCACACACACACACACACACACACACACACACACACACACACACACACACACACACACACACACACACACACACACACACACACACACACACACACACACTTACACAATAGGAAGTAAATATGGCTGATAAATAAACGTCATGCAGTAAAGCGGTTTTGAGCCTGTACAAAGCAGCAGGCTGGGGAAAGGGATTGGGGCAGAGCCAGTTAGAGCCACAGGCTCCTTTGTCAGACTGAGCCAGGATTTAAGCCTGCTGGGAAGCCTTTATGTGTGTGTGTGTGTGTGTGTGTGTGTGTGTGTGTGTGTGTGTGTGTGTGTGTGTGTGTGTGTGTGTGTGTGTGTGTGTGTGTGTGTGTATGTGTATGTGTGTGTGTGTATGTGCGTGTGTGTGTGCGTGCGTGTGTGTGTGTGTGGAAGGAGAATGCATATGTTAACATATAAAACAGCTGTGTTAAGTATATGGCATGTGCAAAACAGTGGCACGAGAATGTTTGCAGTTGACTACTGTAAGCTCTTTCAGTACAGCGCGTTTGATTGAATGCACACACTCCTAAACACGCACAACAACACACACACACTCCAGAACACACACAGAGCAATTTCTCAGCCGTACATCAAATCTGAGTTTATAGCACTCTGGTGCTGTCCATTTACTCCAGGGTCCATCTGGGAGAGCCCAAACTGATAGAAGCGCACCATAATGGACTTTTTATAAGCTACTGGACAGACAGACCCACTCCATCTCTCTCCCTCACTCCTCTCTCGCACTCAGCAGCAGATATGAAGAGAGACGTTGAATCAGTTTGGTGCAGGACAGCGTCTGCTTGGCTATGGGGGCCTCAAGGTCATTTGAGTGCCCTCAAAATGGATTCAGAATCGAGTTTTCTCATCCCCTTGGGCTGACGGGTTTGTTTCACACCTACACACACACAACATATATACACAAATCCTCATAAGCCCTGGTATACTTCCAAACTGCTAAATTGGCTTTGTTTCATTTCACTTTCATTCTCCATCTCAAATTGCCCTTTTTCCCCGTTTTTCTTTCTCTTATTAGATATTTTCAAATCTTCCAATTCCCACACCACAGAGTCATTTGGTCTATCGTTCTGCCCTCCACCCCCTGTCTTCTACTTCAGCCTCTCTATCTCTCAGTTCAATAACAATATGATAAATTCTAGGGATTTACAGTCCAGCGGACCCCAAGGAAAGCTAGAGAGCTACAATCAAAGAGCAATCAATGCAGGGATGACCAGAACAACTCATCTAAAGCGGGGCAAGCAAGATTACTGTGTTGCATTTGCCTGATCAATTGCAGACAATTGCACCCATGGATTAGCATGTTTGTGCAAGGAACTCTCTGTATGGTGCTTTGCAGAAAGATAGTGAAGTGTTTACA